CAAACAAAAAAAGACTACCCCCCCCCCCCCCCCCTCCACGGAACCCCCGCTGCTGTAGTTGTATTCACATGTACAGCAGTGGTGGTCCCGATATACCGTACCGTAGTCCCGAACAGTGCTGGTCCCGATACACCGCTGTAACAATCCCTTGTCACTTTGGTTACCGTACTAATGGCTACATATTCCAAACAATCAACAGTGCGGTATCCCGATATACGACGGTTGTTTTTTTTGCTTGTCGCGACACCGCGGTACGGTATATGGGGACCGCCACCACTGAACTTGTACTTTCATGTAGTGGTTACAGACGTTTTCCCCCCACTACGGTGAAACGGTTTCAGGCTTGAGCCCCGCCCTGTTGTGTCTGTAGAACCTACCAGTAGGCCGCAATGTTGTTCTGCAAAATTTGATCATGTTTTCAGGCGGCATTCTCCCAGACTTCACGCAACTTTTGAAAAAAGTTTAGAGCTCCAGGCAAACGTCCCCCCCAGACGTGTTGCTTTCAAAGAACAGATTGCGATACGTATGTGTATGCCTGACGAACACATTGCGTTGGGTTCCCTTTGGCAAATCATTGTAGGAAGGAACGATTGGCCATCCGTGATCGGTCCTGCAGCAAGAATGCTCCGCCCTCTCGAGGACGCGTGGTCAATGGTCTAACATCCAAGGCATGCAAAACATGAGTCCCCCCCCACACACCCACACATTACGTTATTTTCCCCTCCTCTGTCCCCCCGCCTGCCTTCCGTCCTACCCCCGCGCTCGGCCCCTGCATCCGCTTCGAAAGCTCATCATGGACGACAACTTTTCCGCGTGGCAAGAGACACGTTGACCGCCACCACGCCTATTAGTCTTACCGGAGATGGTGTGACGGAATTAGGGGAGGGCGGGTGGATGTAGTTGTCGACCCCGCTCAAGAATTTTGTGTGAATTTTACATTTTTCTAACATGAAGGAGGTTGTGAGACTGCATGGGGGGAGGGGGCGGACGTATTTGTCTACCCCGCTCAATAATATTGCGCGAATTTTACCATTTTCTATCAAGCTGTTGTAGAGATAGCATTTACAGGTGATTTTGGGGGGGGCGTGTTGTTGCGGTGTTACGTGGAGAGCGTTCGAACAGAGATGGGTGTGGGTCCATTTGGTGGTGCGAAATTGCGCCGCTCCTTGCCAGCGCTTACCCAAACGAACGCACGTATGAAATTGACTTGTCCTCAAAGTGTGGCACTTCACCTGCTGGCCTTGCTTGGCATGGAATCATGGGTAGGTACGCATAATACATGGGCGTTATTTTTTCTCGTGTGTTTGGGCAGAAAGTTAACGAAAATCGCAGACGGTCCCACCTTCGGTGTTTTTTCTTTTAGGCGGAATTTGACGGCAACGTCGACGTACGACTGCTTTTGCCTACCAGAGACGATCAATCCTTAACGCTGATTTTCGTTTTTCCAAGGTGCAGCGGAGTTTTCTCTCTCGCGCGCGTTTTGGCACGAGAAAACGCTCGTTGGCGACTCGACATCCCGCCCGCGCTTTGGAGTGTGCCAATCAAGCAAGTACCGGCAGCAGCGTTGCCACGAGCGACATTCGGGGTGGTGTTGCCACTGGCGCACCAGGGACAAACCGGATCGCCAAGCATCGGGCACGGTGTGCTTGGGGACAACAGGGGGGTGGCTGGTCGTCAAAACTCACCCAACAGAAGAAAAAGCCAGTTCATCGGAGAGAGCCCGAAAGCAAAACGTTCCCAGCAGACAAAACGCCTCCACTATCTCAAGTGGAAAACGTGTTCCACTTTGCCGAAGGCCGTGGCGGCAAACGATGCACATTTGACAAAGGAAGACACAAAACAATAGACTTCAGCGCCCCCTTCCGGTGACCTTGATTGTCCCCGCTGGCACTGGCGTCTTTTCACCGGTCGGACGTTTGGCACGGTCGACGCTAACAATAAAAAATTACGCCCCCGACACTAACGGGTGAGTCGATTACGTCATCGTGTACGGCACCAGGAGGCCTACTATACGCGGGACAGCTACGGTGGTGCCAATCACCTCCGGGCTGCAAAACGCGCGAAGGAAGTTTGTGGTTTAGCTCAGAAAAGCACGAGGGGTACTGCTGTAGCCCCCCGGCCTAGACTTGAAGCGTTTGGCTCCTTTCACCAGACTCACCTGCCGGCTGCAAAGAACGCAGCATAGTAGTTGAACGCATCGCTTGTATTGAGATTGTTTTCCAAGCGACGGGCGGACGGCCGCAAAAGCCCGAGATTGTCGACATCACGATGACCTTTTTTTCGTTGAGGCTCGCGAGCACCGAAACCAAGCGATGACTTGAACCCCGCTATATACTCGCTATATACTATATAGGCTGCAACCGAGTTGTAGACTAAAAATGTCCCAAAAACCCTGACATCAAGTGGCCGGTTCCACCGCCGCCCCAATCCGTCCTGAAGAAACAAGCGGCATTGATTTGGTCGTCGGTACCCGATCAACGCGGATCCCACTTTGCTTGTCACCGATCACAAGAAAGAACGGCGATCTGATCCGCCATACCCCCGCGGAACGACCCGTTTGTATATGACTTGCGTCGTCCAATGAAAAAACGGGCGTGGCTTTGATTGACACAACAACACTTTGGTATGATCGTTTGCCTCTCTCCTCTTTGACCGCTGCCCGCACCTTCCCAGCCACAGATATGTCGTAGATGCTCGCCGTCTTCCCGCTGCTTGCTGTGAATTTCGGGGGCAATATGTAGTGGTCCGATATTTCCCGGTGGAGTTATTTAGTGACAGACAAAAACCACCGCGGTATATCGGGAACCGCGCTGCGCCCGGCCAGGCTGCTGCAGCTGCTGCTGCTGCTGCTGAGCACGACAACTTTGCTTCCGACCGCTGGTTCCACGCCACGCCGCCACGCATGTTCTCTTGGCGGCGCCGAAGGCGTGTGTGTGCCGGTGTAGAGTGATCTCTCGATGATCAGCACTCTCGCGCTGCAGCCGCCACAAAGCCAGTTCCAGGGCGGACGAGGTTTGGGGGTGCAATCTCTCTCACGCACAAGTCGGGAAAAAGAGGGTTGTCAGCTCGGCTGGCCCACGCCATCAAGAACGTAGTGACAACCGGGGCGGTCGATTCTTCGGCAACAACGTCTTCAAGTGCTGCCCAAGCTTTTCTTGACCGGTGGACCGTGGTCAACGCCACCCGTCATCGAGGGCCTTCGGTCATGTCTGACAAAAACAATGGCGCAAGGTTTTTCGTTTTCGACCAATCAGAAAACTGCGTGCTTTTCTTTCCTTCTTTTGAGCCTTACGCAAAAGCAATCTAACGCCTACGAGATTGCTATCTGGTGTGCCAGGTCAAATTTGACGATTTTCTCTCTCTGTTATGGCTGATGCGTTCCTACCACGTGTGGCAATTAACGACCAGTCGTGACTAGCCAAGACAACGCGATGCAACTCATCTCTTCTAGGACAGGTTTTTCACTCGAGAACCCGTCCTATTCTTGGCCCTCGTCGTTGACCCTGCCACGCCCTTCTGTGTCAGCTTGATGGATGCACTCGGTCCAAAGAAACAACGCGAAAGAAGCGGCTACCCCAATAAAAATCGCGAGCTTTTCTTCTTCCTACGCCGCAGTGGTACACACCTTGAACTGGGTGCTCGTTTTCTTCCGGAACATGACTCCTGAAGAACCACAGGGTGAAAAATGAGACGCGCATGAAACCTTGCAAAGCACCCTCGCATGACCGGCATGGTGTTACATGTCCTCGCGAACGAAGGCAAGGGTCGGGTGCCAAGGAAGCCCTTCGGCAGCAGTCTCGATTCGCATCGCGCTCTTGCACCCTCAACAAAAAAAAAAAAACGTTGTCAAAGGGTCTGCACAATTCTCAGTCAATGTTTCTCTCCCCCTACTCCTTCGGGCACACGCTCTCGCCGACTCACGGCAGTGCTGGCGGAACGCTCAACGAGGAACACGAGGGAAAAAACACAGACGTCCCACGGTAGCCGCCGTGGAAAAACGACCAACCGGGTAAATCCCGACGCCACCGAAGAGCCACAAAAAGAAAAAAGGATCACGATTAAAACAGGCATGTACTCCACAAACATCTATCCCTCCTACCCGCCCCCCTAAAAGCAGCGGCACAACAAAAAAAGACATGTCGGACACACCCAAGACGCGAGAAGAAGCAAATCACAACGCACCAACACAACACGGAGAACGAAACACCATCATCCATAGCGCTCCTACGATGTACTTGGTAACTATCGTACCACCCTCGGTGCCCAGGGGGCGCGAGAAGAGCCTACTCGCCCGGAGGACAAAAAAAAAAAACACGACCCGCGAACGCCACGCACCCGTAAAAACATGAGATATGAGCCACACCGGTATATGCACATTTTCCTCGACAAAAAATCGACAGGGGTCATCGAACGGTCATCCAACGGCCCTCAACGGTCATCTCTCCCTCTCCCGCCCAGGACAACCCCCAGGAAGGCGGCCACTGGGACGCCATACCGACGAAGGGAGGCGACGCCGCCGACTTGCCATTCACAAAAGCCCCCCCGCCCCCGACCTCGCAGCCAACGACTAGGCCACGACGCCTCGAGCTTCCTCGCGTGACACCTTCCTACCTTCCCAGGGGGTCCCCCAGGCCGTCAAGATTGCGAAACACCTCGTCGTCCCAGCCCCCCACCGTCTCCGCTTCCGTCGCCCCCGTCCCGCTTCGGCTCCCGCCCCCTCCCCCTCGCCCCCCGCCACTTCCTCCGCCTCCCCCGATCAAACCGCCCCACCGCGCGCCCCCCCCCCCTCCCCCGCCTCCCGTCTCCGACGACCCCCCGCTAGTCCGCCGGGAAGACGACCCGAAGAAATTTCCTAGAAACGGAATCGATAGCCCCCCGTTAATGCCGCTGCCGCCGCCGCCGCCGCCCCCTCTGCTGCTCGACGTGGCCCGTACTTGCGGAGACGGTTGCTGTTGGGGCCGAGGGAGAGGAGTACGGGCAACGTAAGTTTGTTTGTTGTAGTTTTTTTTTTCGTGCAACAAGACAACGAACCCGCGCTGCTTTTAAGTCATTGTTGTTGGTCGGTCTTGCGCGTCTAGTGGGGGCGGCGGGCTCTGTCTAACCATCCCCTTTGTCCCCGACCATGTCGCCTGCAACGTCTGACTTCTTTGTGGCCTCCCTTACCTCTGTTCTTCTAATCTGTGGTGTTGCCTTTCTGGGCCGCGTTTCACGCCCTCTTGACTTTTCGTTTGTCTTGCAACTAATAATTTGAGAGTATTGTACATACCCTGTTACCATCGGAAGGATATCTCCCTGCCAAATGGACCAGTACCGATGGCAGAACGTACTGAGTAGAGACCGGGAACACTCTTTAACGTGAAGACAGACACAAGAGCAACGACAACAACAACCAAACGCGATCGCTGCAGCGGCGATCCAGAAGTCCGCACGCCGACGTCCTCAAGCTCAGCTCCGCAATTATAATTATGGGCAAGGGTGGGTCTGCACCGCCCTTGGTGGAGTCCTTCGGGGGCGCAGGTGTGAAACAAACAACCTTGGGGGGGCGGAGGGGATGACGCTTCGAAGCTGTAGCACGGACACGACGCCACATCCGATAACACAGCAGTGTGTTGCCGTTTCAAACCGCAGAGAGACAAGAACTACCCAAGAATAAACGACATGATAACCTCCTCCACTACCCTTCGCAGGATCTCGTTAAAGAAAACATGTTGGGCAAAGAGTACAATCGGGGACGTAGGGTTAGGGCTAGGGAATAGGAAATGGGGTCTGCGGCCCTGTCTCCCTGTTCTATTTCCTCGTAACTCATTAATCGCGCCAAGGCGGTCCACCCCCCCCCCACCCAAGCCGGTACCCCAACTCACCGGATAATCCTCGGATTGGCTGCTCGGGCGAGGCCGCTTCAGCGACGATGACGAGGCGCCCCTCGGCCCCGCAACCGCAGACGCCGCGGCCCTCGCCTCCCAGCCGAGAATCGAAGCGGGGGCGGCGGCCGCCGG